TGCCGGGCAGAGAAAAAGTCCCCCCCCCTGCCAGCAACAGGCTGCCCCCTCCCCTGAGCAACAGGCTGCTGAACAGACAAAAGCAGCCTCTCTGCCCCTCCTCCCCTCTATACATGCCGGGCTCCCGGAGCGCAGCAGCGTCCCCGGGGCTCGCTCACCTGGGTCCTAGAATCCACCTCCTCCTCCTCTTCGGCCGGCTCCAACTGGCCTCTGCCTGCAGCAGCTGGCCACAGGGACAGGGATCCTGCAGAGCTGCCGGGCAGAGGAAAAGTGCCTCCCCACGCCCGCTGCCCCCTCCCCTGAGCAACAGGCTGCCGAACAGCAGACAAAAGCAGCCTCTCCGCCCCTCCTCCCCCTATACATGCTGGGCTCCCTGGGCAAACAAAGACTCCACCAAAACAAACAAAGTGCTGGCCTCATTGTGTTAGCAAAAAAAGGACCCTCCTCCTAGAACCCTGGGTGGTGTGTGGAAATAAAGCTATTAGCTCAAAGCATGGTGCAGAGCTGTTTGGTATTTGATGAGTTACTCCTTTAGTCCTGAGTTTGTCACAGGGACAGAAATAGATGTGAAATCTTCTGAACAGGGGAACAGACAGCAAAACAAACATTAGAGGGGAGTTAACCTTTCCCTATGCTATCCAAAACTAAAAAAAATGTTTGGCTAGAGTTTCCCCTACAATATGTACCAGTTCCGACTTACATACAAATTCAACTTAAGAACAAACCTATAGTCCCTATCTTGTACGTAACCCGGGGACTGCCTGTACTCAGGCTCCTACGCTCAGCTATCCAGACCATCAATTTTTGCTGATAGCAGTACTAACTTCTCCTCAAACAAGGGCAACAGTACCTGCAATGTGTCCAATTTAGCATGAAGGAATTCCAACAAATCTTACAGTGACTTTGTTGGATGTGGAAAAGAATTTGCATCTCACCTTTGGCAGCTTTATTTTTCTTTTTGTGGAGTATGAAATCCTAGATGTTTTTTTCTGTCATTTGCTGTTGCAGTAGATGCTGTCCAGGTATCTTGCTAGTGTCCTGGCACCCTTTGTTCTGACTTTAGTGTTTGGTCAAATAACCACCCAGTCAGGCCCAGCCTTATGATTTTTGTGCCCTACTCAGCCTGAGTGCCTGCACCCTCCAGCACTCCATGGGTGGGGAGGTTGAAGGAGGGCAGGGAGGCTAGTGGTGGAGCAGGCAGACTGAGTGGTACAGGTGGTTGGAGCTGCAGGCTAGTGGTGCAGCCTTCTGGAACTGCAGACTGGCAGGTGGAGCTGGGGGGGCGGGATGGACAGCGGAGGTATGGGGTAAAGAGATTGGGGGTATTGGGGCCAGGAGGCAGCACAGAGGGTAGGGATCTGGGGGTTTGGGGCCGACGGGGCCAGGAGGCAGATTAGAGGGTGGGGGGCAGGGGATTGGAGCTGATGAGGCTGGGAGGCAGAGCAAGAGGTGGGGGATTGGGGTCCTCTGAGTCACTGCTGTCTGCAGTTGGTGGTGGTCCTGGGCATACGCAGGATTTGGCACTACTAAATTTGGGCGCTAGTGGTGCTCCAAATTGAGTGGGTGCCCTATGCAGCTGTGTAGGCTGGGTCTGCCTAAAGATAGCCCTGCACCCCACAGAAAATATGGTCAGACCATGTATGTGCAAAAGTTGGCTTGGAGCATTGAGAAAACATTGTGTCTCATTGTAGTATAGTTATAATGCACTTGAATTGGCAGGCTGGAGTAACATTGTTTTATGTAATCTTTCTGAGACAGGTGTTGAAGGGTGCATATTTTTATGGAGAGGGAAAGGAAATATTATTCAAAAATTAATCATGATCCATCTAAATAAATTAACAAAGAGTGGAATTTGTCAATGAGCCCATGTTCTGGCAAAATATAATCTTGATTTGATGAAGATGGAGTGACAGCTACCTTGGTGGTCACTTATGAGGAACATTAATTTACTTCCATTATGTTTCAGCTAGTCATTTTTTTCCAAGCAAAATTACTGCAGCAAAGGACAATGCATATATATTGAAGAAAAAAAAAAGTAAATTATTTCCCGAGCCTGACCTCAGCAAGAAACCTCTTCCTTCCCCCAAGCCAGCTATGATACAAATGTCATAAAATCTTTCCACATGTCCCAGTTGTATTCAAATGAACTCTGAGATAGGTTTGAAGCAGTAATCAGATATGTTTCCTCCAAAAAAGTGGGACTGAATTTCACCTTGTTCTTTTCAAAATGTTTTCTTTTGGTGAGACAGTTGAGTTATATTTGTTTGGTCTTTCTCCACAGGATGCCTGCTAGTGAAGGGTGACATTGTTGGTTGTACATTCCAGCTTTTAATTTTTTGGATCAGTGACCCATAGCTCCCTTTGTTGGTATTTTTTGGGAAGGGAATAGATCAGAGTTAGTGCTTTGTCTAATGTATTAAATAAAATCCTTCACCCATTACCATCAAACCTGAAAGATATGGACTCAGAACAAAGAAGATGGACCATTAACTTACAATATTTATTTTGAAATTGATGGATGCAGATTAAAGTGTACCTCTTTCCAGTGAAAGAGGAAACCTTACCCAGAATTTTTAGTGTAAACATTATTCTTTGATTGTGGAAGGGAGTAAAACACATTGTATTATGGTTTGGTGTTAGAGACGACTTTAAAGAAGAGTTGACCTTGACCTTGAGAGCTTGGTCATAGTAAGCCATTTCCTGGAGTAGCTCCTTTATGCAGCCAGTGGAACCATGCCAGGGTGCAGCTGGTTCAGTTAGTTTTGTTGATCCCATTTGTGAAGTGAAGCATTTCTCATTTGTTTAACGTTTTGTAAAGCAGCTCTGACTGCCTACTAGGTGTGTCCATGGAAAATTCAAAGCAGGAATATAAAGCAAAATGAGGCAGCAGGTCTCAGAATTCTTCTTACTATTCAACATTTTAGTTAGCTCTATGATTTGCCAAAAAGGCTAAAAACCCCTGTGTTTTTAAAGAGGGGTGTTCAATGGCCTTTCACATTGGCACTAATGAAGAAGATGATCCAAGTACTTCTTCAAGACTGTCTCCCTTGCATTTCAGAAAATGTTAAAGGCACATGGACGTTTACAGTTGGAGGACAGATGCAGGAAGGGGGAAGGTCAGTATCTGAAAGTATGTTGTGTAATACAGGCATGAGGAGAAGCTAGTGGCATAGCGAGGGAAGACAGGGAGGGCAGTTGCCCCCAGGCGCCACGTTAGGGGGGTGCCAATTTGGCTGTAGGGGGGTGCCAATATGGCTGTCAAAAGTTATGTTCTTGTTAACTTTTTTATGATTATTTCGTATATATTCCAACAGTTGACTGTGAAAAGGTTTCAGCGAAACCTTCAAAAAGTAAAGAGGACGATAGTTATGTTATACTGCAAGCGTTGAGGTTATACTGCATGCGTTTTAGCGTGAATGGTGGCAGGAATACACTCTACCCAGTCACCTCAGTTTGCGTGCATTAGGAAATAATCAAAAAGTTAACAACATAACTTTTGGCAGCTAAATTGGCGCCCCCTAGCGTGGCACCCAGGAGCAACTTCCCTGTTAGTTCCCCCTGCTACACCACTGGGAGAAGCAAGTCTTTGGCTGTGGTGATAGAAAATTACATCTTTAATTGGATTCAAAGTAGAGTTCTTAAATCATATTAAAGCAAAAGTGACGAGGAGTCCTGTGGCACCTTATAGACTAACTGAAGTGTAGGAGCATAAACTTTTGTGGGCAAAGACCCACTTCGTCAGATCTGCATCTGACGAAGTGGGTCTTTGCCCACGAAAGCTTATGCTCCTACACTTCAGTTAGTCTATAAGGTGCCACAGGACTCCTCGTCGCTTTTGCAGATTCAGACTAACACGGCTACCCCTTTGATACATATTAAAGCAATTTACAGTATAGCCTCAAAGATACGAACAGCAAAGTTATGGATTGACTGGTCAACAGGACACTATGTGATAGTGGAAGTAACCAATTAGGCATCTTAAAGGAAGGCGCATCCGCCTGTCCCCATTCCACCCCGTCCCCATATGCGGGGCTGCCACTTACATTAAGTTGCTGGGGCTGCTGGAGCTCTTACCCCTCCACTCATCCGGGAGGAGGGTGTGCTGTTCACCCTCCTCTCCCCAGCTGGGAGTGGGACTTGATATGTGCAAGGACATACACACTCACACACACACACACAACCTGGAGGGTGACAAGCTTGCAAATTGTTGCCGAGACTGAGTGGAGAGCTCAACTGCTTCTGAATCGTGGCCAGGAGTGTCTGCTGCTGGATCTGGAGATCAAACTGTGCTTTGTTCAGAATTACAAACAACCTCCATTCCTGAGATGGCTGTAATTCTGAGGTTCTACTGTACATAACTAATTCTGTAGCCTCCGCCACTTTGAGCGTAGAAGACCTACTATAATCTCAAATTGCTGCTTTGTTAGTTGAGCCCTGTTACTGTATGCAGGCGAATACTGGGGGGAGAATACAACGGGGAGTCCTCTGTTCAGTAACCACCAAAAACGTGGTGAGAAAAAGGCTGGACTGTGGCCACCAATTTCCTTTTTGACACTGGACAATTTGCTTAATGTTTCTGTTTCTTTGTTCCTCACGTATATAACATTCCCACTCTTTATTACTATTAGGTTAACTCCATTGAGTTCAGTGGGGATTTCCTACAGATGTGAGATAAGAATCAGGCTCTTGATGTGTCTTGTTCATTTAGGTTGACCCCAAAAGTGCTGTGGGACCCCCAAAACGGCCTTTTACTGTGTATTTCTTCAACACCTAGGCTCTCTGGGTGCTATTATAATGCAAATAATAAAGAGAGGGAAGTCAAGATTATTCACTCTTCAGAGTGTAAAACTATCAGCAAATATGGGAATGCAGGGCCTGAGAGAAGTATTTTCATTATTAAAATATGTTGGAAGCATCTATAAAGGATTCTCTAGTTTATATAAAGGTGTTACATGTAACATGATGATAGAGTTCTGGTCACATAGCAAAGCTTCTGGATGTCAGGGAGAACTTCAATGGTTTTTTTCACACTTCAGGTCTCTCCTGCAATGAAAGGCTGTTGCAGTCTGGAGTGTTCCTCCTCTAGATATGCTAATACGCTGTGAAAGTGCACATCATGCCTGGATGGGCCCTGCTGATAAAATAATGCCTGGAGATTTCTCAAAGTGCTAATGCGTCAAAGTGCCCACAAGCACAGGGTGAACGTTACTGCTTTCTAAAGGTCGTGTCTGTTGAAGTTAGCTTGTACGCTCTGTTTTTGTGCAAACAGTGATTCTACTTTACAAAAATTGGAAAGCTTTATTTTCGCTGAAAATCCAAGGCTTAATAAGAAAAATCAATATAGCTGATAACATGTCTTTTACTTACAAAGGTAATAGCTTTGATTGGACCAACTTTTGTTGATGAGAATCGAGATTATATAGAGCTCTTCTGGTCTCTCAACTTAGACAGTGTTTCAAAACAAACATTAAACTCAGTCAGTTGATTTGAAAACTTGTTCACAGAATTAGCACAGTTATCTGATTTGAAGCCTGATCTGTCACAGTATTACCAAAAACTTTTTTGTTGCATCCTGGGGCAGTTCTCTCTTTCCCTTATCTTAATTTATAGTGCTCTTTCTCCTTTGCATTTCTAGTCTGTATTGTTCACTCTCTAGCTTGCTCTATATATAAAAAAGTTTTTCCTGACTTGTGACAGAATGACGTCATCAGAGAGTGGGGAGAGGGCTATGTGGAGTTGGCGAATGTAGAGAGCAGGGGGCAGCTCCCTAGTAAGTTTTAAATCAAAATAATTTTTTACATTTGCAGCAATGACAGTCAACAGCAATTGTGGCAATTTCCTACTCAGAATTATTAGTTATTCTTATAAGAGGCTGAGAATTTTAAAACAGAATAACATACAGCTGGAATCTCTTATTTATTTTTACTGTTTTTCATTTGCAGCTGCATACAGGTGTACATCCTCTGGAGTTTTATTCTAAGATTAGTGCTTGATACTTTTGTGGAACCTCTTTCCAGTTATGCCTTTAGTTAACACCAATTACAAAATCTTTTATGCATGGTTATTCTATCATTTGTATAGGTAAAGAGAAATAGTAATGCATGTACTACTAAAATATTATTTGAAATAATTTAATTTAAAAAATGTATGTATATCGATCTGGAAACAGTTTTACATTAGTTTTAAAACTAATACATACTCAGTGGGTTTTTGGGTGGTAGTGTTATATATCAGACTTGTCAACTGTTTTTAGTGTTTCTTTAGTCCTTTGTTTTTATAGATAACCACTTGTCCTCTGTTTATAACGTGTGTCTGTTTCAAAGTTGCAGACTTGTTTTACTTTAAACCCATGCATATCTTTTGTCCATTCTTTGAGATTTAGCTGCATATTTCTTATCTATAGCAGCAGATGCTATTGTTTATTGAGGAAAAGCTTTATCTTCCATTCCTCAGTTATGGGACTGAGGATTTAAGAGAAGCTTTACTCAGAGGAAATGCTCTTCCTCCTTGTTTTGTTTCCTCCTTTGGCCCATTTTGAAGAGCTTCTCTGTGGCACTGGTGGGTTCAACTTAATTTGTTTCATCCTAGTAACTTAATTGCTTCTCTCTGTGTTTAAAATGGAGTGTATTGAACATGTTGAATGGATATATTTAATTACTGCTTCTCCGTCTCCCCATTGGGCTAATACTTTTATTTCTAGGCATTTAAGGGATCAAGCATATTTTTAAGGTAAATGTATTTTTCAGACATATGCTTTGTCATCCTGTCCTGATGAAACTTATCTTTATTCACAAGGGTCTGTCCTTATGTTCTAAGAAAGTTTGTTTTCCTGAGTCAGCTGCTGTTTCCTCCATTCCTCGTCTTAATAAAAGACTAATGAGTCAATACCATTTTCCGATATAAGTGGTACTTTTAAAATCTTATGTCTACACTAGAAACACTACAGTGGCACAGCTAAAGTGCTGCAGCTGCACTTAATACAGGGAGGGAAGGGGTTCTTCAGTTGCGGTAGTAAATCCACCTCTTGGATGTATGGTAGGTAGGTTTTATGTGAACCTACAGGTGTCCACACTGGAGCAATTACATTGCACAGTGTGTAAATTTGTTTACCACTCTTAGCAATGTAGGTAAGCTATCTTTGTTAGCCTGAAACAGTTAGACCTATGACTTTGTTGGTCAGAAGATGGGCTGTCTGCAGTATCCCACCCAGGGCCAGTCCTGACCAATTGGCGGCCCTGGGTAAATTTCTTTTTGCGGCCCTTACAACAATATGCCGTGTTAGCCCAAATGTTGGAAAACTGTTCTGTGATCCTTAAGTTTGCATATATGGTAATTAAATATTTTAAAGAAGCATTTTCAAATTATTTTGATAGATATATTAATTATTAAAGGCAGTTAAAGTTTGGTCTCGCCCTGAGTGACAAAATTCCTTGCTACAGAATTGCATCTCATTTTCGCTTAAAAGAATTAGAGATACTTACCTACTCCTTTCTGATTGTCGGACGAGGCGCACTGCTGAGACCACTTCTGAAGAATGAGAACTTATCTAGTGTGATTGGTTGATTTGCTCTTTGAAGAAAGGTGATGAAAAATTGCCACAGTGATTTTTATGCAATTAATAGGGTTCCTGTCTTCCAGCAGCGCCTGCTGTCTCCTGCCCTTGGCCCGGCTGGGAAATACAAACACTAGGGGGAGCTGTCCGGAGACGTGAGACTCTCCTGGGAGTGTCTGGTGGGGAGAGAGCCGCAGATGCAGGGAGCCAGAGGTGGGTTCCTGGCACCAGAGAGTGAGAAGCAGCCTCGGTGCAGGGCAGAGCACTGGGCAGGGCTGAACGGTTTTGCTGCTGAGAAAAAATGAAAAATATCTGGCCAAAGCTCATGCAATTTTTCCCATTATATATACAATTAATTTTGTTACGTTTCAGCGGCCCCTTGAAAATGGTGTCCCTGGGCGACTGCCCAGCTCACCCGCATCTCACCCCCTCCTAACATGGGTGTTTAGTGTAATTGAGATGCGGGCAGGTTAGATAAAACAACAAAATCTTTATTAGATAACACAAATAAACTAAAACTCCCTGCAACATTGCAATAATGGCTTGAATGTTAGCACAGTGTTA